GCTCCCCGCCTGCGGCCCCCGCTCCCAGCCTCCAGCCTGCGCCCCCGGCCTGCTCCCCGGAGTGACAGCTTCCCATTGCGGACAGGGAGGTCCGTGTCCCACCGCGGCCATGGAACAGGTGTGGGCCTGATGGCAGTACCGGGAGTGCCGGGTGGCGTGTCGGCAGTGCCGGGAGTACCGGGGGCGTGTCGGCAGTGCCGGGAGTACCGGGGGCGTGTCGGCAGTACCAGGTGGCGTGTCGGCAGTGCCGGGAGTACCGGGGGCGTGTCGGCAGTGCCGGGTGGCGTGTCGGCAGTGCCGGGAGTACCGGGTGGCGTTGCGGCAGTACCGGGCAGCAGCGCGCGGACCACAGGCCGGTGCGGGCCGCCTTCCCGCGGTCTCTCCCCCGGCTCCCAAACCGGGGGAGGTGGGGCCGCGGGGCCGAGGAGACCCCGCCGCCCTGGGGTCCGGCTTCCAGGCCCGTGCGGGAGCGGCCCCGAGGCGCCCGACGCTCGGGCCCGCAGGCCTCGAGCCTGCTCCCGACTGCTGGGCCGCAGACCCGCGGAGTCGCGCTGGGACCTACCGGGATCGCAAAAGCCTGAGCCGCGGCCTGGAGGAAGAGACCGGACGCGGCCTCCACCCAGCGCCCGGCCCAAGCGGAGACCTCGGCAGCCCGACCCGAGCGCGGGACCGTCGGCGGGCGGAGGAGAGCCCCGGAGACCCGAAGCAGAGGAAACCTCCGGCATCCCGCCCGCCCTCAGGCCCGCACCGCCCGCGGCGCTTCGCTGGGCCGGGCGGCCCGTTGCCATGTGCCTTCACTCAGCGCGTGTGCGTCCTGCCTGAACCCTGCTACCCTAGGCCGGGCAGAAGCAATGAGAAAGCCCGGGACTCTTCAGTTAACTCGCAAATGACCAAAGAGAATGAGGTCCTGAGGTCAGGCCTCCCCAGGGCCGGCACACACACGCACTTCCAGTGCTGGAGCCCTTTCAGGACCACAAACACATCCATGAACACTGTTGATTATCAGAGGAAAGCAGCCAAATCAAGGCTGGAGCCACGACTTAACAGATACAGCACTTACTTAGCAAGTGAATTACAGGGAATTCAAAGCCTACTGCAAGATGCTTTAAACCAGGCACCAATGGCTCACACATGTAATCCTAGCTACTCAGGAAGTTGAGATCTGAGGATCGCAGTTCAAAGCCAGCCAGGGCAGGAAAGTATGTGAAATTCTTATCTCTGATAAACACCCAGAAAACCAGAAGTGGCGCTGTGGCTCCAGTGGTAGAGCGCTAGCCTTGAGCTGAAGAGCTGAGGGACAGCGCCCAGGCCCAGCTCAAGCCCCACAACCAACAACAAAAAAAAAGGTTCTTTTATTCACAAACATATATGCATTTATGTATACGTGTATGCACATGTATACATATATGTATATATGTATAGATACATGTATGTGTGTATAACTATATTAACTAATGGCCACCTATCTGGGATGAGAGCATTTCAGTTGCATTTCCCTAATGTCTAGTGATGTAGAACACTCTTTTCCTTATTGGCCATTTGTATTTCTTTTCGTAAGTACCTATCCAGAATACTTGCTCACTCTTTTTTTTTTTTTTTTTTTTTGTCGGTTGTGGAACCTGAACTTGGGAGCCTGGGTGCTGTCCCTCAGCTCTTCAGCTCAAGATCAGCACTCTGCCACTTGAGCCATAGCACCACTTTGGCTTTTTCTGCTTATGTGGTGCTGAGGAATCGAACCCAGGGCCTCGTGCATGCAAGGCAAGCGCTCTACCACTGAGCCACCTTCCCAGCCCCAGGATATATTTTTCTTTAGCAAAGTCTCTGTGCAGAATAGATTGGCAAGAAAGAGAAAGCATACCTTTTAAATCTGCTGGTGAAAGCAGAGCTAGTGAGTAGTGGTCAGACTCAGTTCTCCCAAGGGAAGGCAGTGCAGTGTCTTCACAGGCTTTGCTGCAGAAGTTAGAACCACCCCCGGGGGTGACTGACTTTCCTTCTAGAGGCGGGAAATGCTGGGAAGCCAGTTTCTGGAAAAGAGCAGGAAGCCATCCAAGGCTTGGGACTTGCTGGCTTTT